TCGGCCGCGGGGGCTTGAGCTGTCGAGGGTCCTGAGCGAGCAAGACCAAGTGCTTCCTTCCTTCGGGGCTCGGAGCGTTGTTGTTTTCGCACATACGGCGCATGCCCAGCCGGCGACGCCCCACGTTGAGCCGATGGGGTGTGCCCTCAGTCGCCAGCAGTCGTGGTGACTGCAGCATGGGCGCTGCCCAGCCGAGGCAATGGCGGGCGGGCCGGCGGGTGCAGGCCGCTTGCTCCGCTGTGCCTGCCGCGCTGCCCCAGTGGGCACCTTATCCCCAAGGGCAGGCGCTTCTCACAACCGCCCCTCAGTTGCAGCCGCCCCAACCCGGGGGCCGCGATGCCCCTCTTGCACCTGTGGTTTCAGTTCGCTGGTGTTGCACTTCCCGTTGTGTCATACCCGTGCTTTGTGGGTGTAATCCCCTGAAAACTGTGTTGACGTCACACCTTGCAACCGCTGCCTTGAGGGATGAACTTGCAAGACCGGCCACACACCAGGGCGGCCACTTGCTGCCGGGGGGATATTACAGGGTCCCTCGCTGCCGGGAAGATGGAGGGACGGGGTTGAGGGGGCTGCTGGCAACATGGCTTGCCAGCCGCTGTGCTTGCGAATGGGGGCTCTGGGCTAGAAGAAAACGAAGCCCCTGTGCTGCACCTGCGATCGAGGGCTGCATTGAAGCGCCGCCCGATTGAAAGGGCCCACGAGCGGCCTGCGCGCCGCGGTGCGCCAGGAGCGGGCGCTGCGGCTGCGGCGGGTCGCCGGCGCGTGCGCACCGCAAACGGCGAGGGGGGCAGCAGGCAATGCGCCTTGGGCCGCCCGCCGCCGCGCTGGGAGCGGCTCGATCGTCACGCAGCCGTGGCGGAGCACTGAAAAAAACAGGCGGCGCGCCGGCCGCGCGCCGCGGCGGCCTGGCCGGCAGGCGTCGCAAGCGCTGGATCTGGATTCATGTACAGGGGCGATGGCGCGCGCAGTTGCGCTGACGCGCCCTTTGGGGCGCGGCACGCGTGGCGCGACGGCAGCGGACGGCAATACATATTTGTTGCGGCGCTGCATTGAGCGCTCGCGAATGCGTGCGCTGGCGAGGACCGGGCGAGCGGTGGCGCGCGGCGCTCAGGGGACAGGCGCCGCGGCGCGGCTCGGGCCGTCCGAGCACGACGCGCGCCCGGCGCCGCCAGAGGCTCTGAAGATGGATCGTCCACGTCCGCGTCACTCGGCCGTGCCGTCCGCCGCCGCGTCGCCCGCCTGCCAGCTGACCTCAACCACCTCCTGCACCCGCCGGTTGTACTCGCGCCGGTTCTCATTGTACAGCCGCGCCGCCTCCGAGTTGGCCGGGGAGTTGGGGTTGGGGTCGCACAGCAGCGACTGCGGGGGGAGGGACCGGGGAGGAGGGCGCTTCGGGCCCAGCGGCGCGGCAGCGGGCGACGAGACGCGACGGGTGCCACGACACGGGCGCGTTCAAGGCACGCCGGTGCCGTCCCCACGCGGGGGCTCAGCACTGCGCCACACCCCCGCAGCGCCGCGCGGGGGGCGAGATGGCAAGGTCTCAAGTGGCGCCTGCAGGCGTCGCCGGGGGCAGCGCCGCGCACCTGGATGGAGGTCAGGATTGCGCTGACGTCATAGATTGGGCTCCACTGGTTCTGCAAGATGTCCAGACAAATGCCCCCGTCTGCATAGACTGATTAGGGGGGAGGAAAGCGAGGACGCGCAGGCGCGGCGGTGCGAAGGTTGAGAAAAAAGTGGGCGTCAAAGATGCGAGCACACTGTTAGTGCAGCCGCTGCGCCGGCGCCTCAGCTGCCAGCCATGCGAGGCTGCCCGCTCTGCAACCCTGACGCAGCTGGCGGGCCGCGCGTGCCGTATGCGCACGGTTCGGCAGCCCAGGTGCTTTGTCAACACAGCCGCAGCGTTCCGTTCAGGCGCGGCCTCTGCTAGATGAAGCATTGGGTGAAACACGGCGCCCTGCTGCGCCACGGCTACCCATCCGAGCCTCCCGCCCGCTCGCAGGCCGCGGCGCCGGCCCGGGCCCCCCGCGGCCCGCCGCCGCTGCACTCACTGTTTGGGTGGAACATCTGCGACTTGAACTTGACTACGGGGGCTTTGTTAGGGTACTCCTCTGTAAATTCAAGGGTCAGCTTGAAAGTCCCTATTGGCGGGGTTGATTTTGGCTGGGCTCGGCAACGAGCACAGTGAACATGTGTGACAGGCGCGCCAGCGCGCGCACGCACATGCAGGGCGCACGGGCAGGGGCATGAGGCCGCGCACCGCCGTCCCAGGGCGTGTCCTCTGGACCGAAGATGACCGCGTTCCACAGCATGATGTTGTCGGGGTTGGGGCTGCCGTTCACACCCTGGGGCGGGTCGTTGCGCAACCGCTTGAAGTCCCGCATGAGGCGCTGCAGGGCGCCGGGCGGTGGGGGGCGGCAGGCGCAAGGCAGGCGAGGCGCAGGCGGGGCGCATGAGGGGAGGCGTCAGGGCCAGCGGGCACATGCTGGTGGATGCAGCGCATAGGGTCTGGGGCGCTGGCTAGCAGGCGCCTAGGGCGATGGCGGGGCGGGCGGCTTCCGGGAACGGTGCGGTGCGCGCACAGCGCGGCGAGCATCGGCGAGGTGCATGCGCATGCAGGCCTTCCCAGGCAAGACACCTGGGCGCATGTGCATCCTCAGGCGCGGCCATCGAGGCCCTGAAGGATCGCGTAGCGCGCTTCCCGCCCGCTGGCCTCGCTGGCCCAAGGTCGCTGCCCAGCTGTGAGGGCCTGCTTACCTTGCGAGCCGGAGTAGACATGGCTGCCGGCACACTGAAGCACCTAGTCCCCAGCTAGCCCCACCACCCCCTCGGTTGTGCTCACAGCTAGATCAATCGCTCCGCCCGTTCGCAACCTGTGTCAAATGTCTGATATTTGTGAAACACAACCACAATTAATCGGGTTTGAAACTTAACTACATACCCTGTTTCCCTAGACCGACGATCGGCGAGTGCTACTCGCTGCACACCAGCAAAGCCATGCAGGGCGCCCTGGCAGCGGGCAGCAAGTGCCATGGGGCATGCTTCTCGACGAGCACGGCCCGCCCATTGGCGGCACGGCGCGCATGCAGCAGGTGCCGCCCAGCACGCGGCGTCCCCCCACGCCACGACCACGCTGACCCCGCCCCCAGGGCGCTCGGACATCAGCAGCCCCAGCCCCAGCCCCAGCCCCGAGGGCAGCAGCAGCAGCAGCAGCACCAGCAGCAGCAGCAGGACGCGCCACAGGACCTCCGATCCATGGGCGCCCGCGCCCTCGCCGCCGCCCTTGCGGCCGTCCACCTGCTATCCGCGCACCCCGCGGCCGCGGTCCTCAACTCCCCGGGCTTCAACGTGCCCCGCAGCGTCGACGCCGCGCTGCGGCGGTCGACGCCTGCGTTCAACCCCGACGTGGAGGCGCTGCAGAAGCGGATGGAGAACATTGCCTTCCTGCTGCGCATCCCGCAGGTGCGCCCCCCAAAACCGCGCTTGCTACGGGTCGGCGCCCTGTAGGCCGCGCCGGCCACACCGCGTTTCCCATCTAGCAGGCAGAATAGGGTGCTGCTTTTTCCAACCCAAGTGGGGATGTGTGATGGCCAGAGAGGTCGGAAGGAGCTGGCGCGGTCCCTTGCATGTGATGTAGCGAAACCTTGTTGGCGGGGCCCAGGTGCCCCCAGCTCTCATGCGAGCTGTGAGACGCTTCAGCTGCGGCAGCTGCTCGTTCCCTGGTACACCTCACACTTGGTGCATGCAAGCGCCATGCATGTGCATGCACGCACATGCACGCACATGCACGCACATGCACGCACACACACTCGCACACACACACAGTACTCACCTGCATGCACGCACATCCATGCACTTGTCCCCCCCCTTCAGCGCAAGCCCTGGGGCAGCATGGCGGCCGACATAGAAGCCAGCCTGAAGCTGTTCGAGGACAGGTGCGCCACATCAGCACGCACGGGTGCACGCACGCATGCACGCACGCATGCACGCACGCACGCGCACCCCACGCCTGTGCAGCGACGACCCATGCCCACACCCCCTCACACCCATGGTGGGCCCCGCCACTCCCTGCCCCCACCATTCACCCGACAAATCCCTCGTACTGCCCAACCAAGCCGCCCCTCCCTCTCGCCGCCCCGCCCCCTCCCGACTTCAACCCCAGGCCCCGCCTGCTGCGCGGCGTCCCGCTGTCGCAGCTGGCAGTCGGGGAGGCGCTCCTGGACGACGCTGCGGCGCGGCTGAAGCAGCTTGAGCTGGCGGTGCGGACGCAGCAGCCGGACTTCGCTGGTGTGAGGGTGTCCGACGTGCTGAAGGCAGTGGCGCGGCTGGAAGTCCTGCAGGCACCTGGACTGTGAGTCGCTCGGGCTGCTTTTTGGGGCGGAGGGGAAGCGCTGTTGTGCGGGGTGGGCCAGGGGCAAACGGCGGAGTGGGAAGTCGCTGGCCCGGTGGCGCAGAGAGCGAGCAAGCGGGCGCGAAGGGGGGGGCCAAGGGGGTTTCCGAAGTGCAGGCGCGCGCCGCCGCGGGGTGGCGGTGGCTGTGGCAAGCAGCGGAGGGCAGCTGCACGGTCCATAGGGGCAGGTGCTCGGCTGCGCCGAAACACGGCTCCCGTGGGGCTGTCGAGTGTGACTGGTGTACCTCGTGCGGCGGCCGCCGCCCGCCCAAACCCCGAACCCGCTCCCCCCTCCCTGCAGCCCTTACACCCTGCCCAAGGACCTGGCCTCCACCTACCCCCGACTGGCGGGCCGCGCCATCGTCCGGCTGACGCTCGAGAAGAGCGACGGTGGGCGTCAATGCCGCGGCAATCGCAGGCAGCACCTGCAAAACGTGCAGCCTTGGCCAGCTGTGTGCGTGGGTGCATTTTCGGGGTTGCACAACCCGTGCCCCGCCAGCCACATGGCCGCGCGTCCCCAACTGTACGAGCGTGCCGCCTGTGCCCCGCCCTCCTGCTCACGCCGACTGGCGTTGACGCGACTGCCTGCCCAGCCCGCAACAGCGCCCCCGCTCAGCCCAGACTGGCCCCCCCTAAGCTGCCCCCGTCACCCCTGCCCCTCGGCCCCGGCACGCGTCCCCAGGGGCGCTCGCGTTCGTGGACGCCAAAGCTGGCGGCCTGACTAAGCAGGGCGTGGTGGAGCTGACCCTGGATGGCTACAGCGCCCCGATTTCTGCGGGTAATTTCGCAGCAAACGTTCTGGACGGCCTCTACAACAACAGGCGCGCGCGCACGCGCTTGGGGGCGCGCACACATGCGTTGCGGTGCACCCGCGCTTGCGTGCGTGCACCGGCGGCGGCCCGTCGCTGGTGGCGTGGGGTTTTGATTGATCAGCGCGGCGCAGCGAGCGGCTGCCGGGGAACAGAGGGTTGTCAAGGCTCCAGATGCGCGAGCGACGCACCCCACCCTCCCACACTGCGCCGGCCCCACGTCCAGCCCCAATACGGCGGGGCCCCCCCCCCCTTTTAGT